TCCAAAACAAGTACTTTTCCGAAACACCAGATCTGAAACATTCTTCTCGACGCGCGATTCACCAACCAAGTGGGCGTCTTCAGTAGATGAAGTAAACTGTCAGTGCAGGATTCTCCACCGACAGTTTAACTTCAATATAATATAATTCGTGAAGTTCATCTCGTTATAATAATCACCTGACTTCGTATTTGATCTGAAATTTAAATAAGCATTTTTCACAAAACCAGTTTCACTGCCCGCATTCACTATTATTAGTCTTTGCCCTTTTGATAATGGTTTATTTAAACCTTCACTAGTGTTGTCATTCCAGGTTTCTATGTGGGTATGCGACGAATGAATATAGGTTTTGTCAATGAAAATTATGGGTCGCTTTTCTTCTCGAAATGTTTTCATACTTCGCAAAAAATTTGTTCTTAACTGAACGATTTCTGGCTTTTCCATTGATAATTTTCGATTATTTTTCGGTTTCCTCCAACGAAATCCCACGTCATGCATAACTTTTCTTTCTTTCCATATTTGGTGTCAAAAAAGCAGCGGCTTTTCCAATCAATCGATTTCATTTCCTTTGAAATGTTTTGTATACTGCTTAAACTTACGCCAGTTGCCATGGCAGCTCTTTCTTGAACTTGTTTAAAGTCCTTTATAGGTTAATTTTCTGCCGCTTCTCGTTGCATAAAACAAATTATGTTGGCTATAACTTCCCTCGTTTCACTTGTCAGCACTTTACGATTTAGATTTTATTTAAACTCCATCCTGGTTAAGTCACAATACTCAAATTGTACTTTGCTTTACGCTTCATTTCTGATTGGACTGTACACTCGGTTAACCCGCGATTCTCACTTCACAACAGACAAATTAAACAAACTGGACTGTGGGCATTTCCACTCTCGTCTTCTGCGAACAGCAAAAGCGGTCTCAAATTAAGATTTTGAAACTTTTTCCCATTATTGAAGAACTGTACATGACATCTGGTTTTTGGATGCTTTCGACAATCTGGAAATAGTAAACGTTTGGTATAAAAACCACAAAGTGAATCGCTCTGTTGAAATCAGCAGCAAGTTTCAGGGGAATATTTCTTGCACATTTCTATCCGAAATCATTAATGTGTGTCTGAAAGTGAAATTGTACCCTGTTAAATATAAGTAAAGACCCCTTTCATATTAAAAAATCAGTTTATTTAGTATCCTGAAGACGTCGGTCAGCTTGGTTGGTGAAACCTGAAGTTGGGAAGAATGTTGCAAGTGTATGGATAAAATGTGCAGTTGGATGTAAACATTTGTTATCCACGTGGTGAACAGCTCATGCCCAGACAAAGGTTATCAATTTACTGAAATCAATCTGCTGGCTCAGCAAATTCCTACTGCTGAACAATGAGTACTTTTTGCAAAGATGGAATCTGTGAAAATCTCGCACTAATATTTATCAGGAGGAAAAGAACAAAAGTGATTATTATTTGACATACTTTGGCCTAATCCAGCTCTGAACTATATCTAAGAGGTATTCAAAATATCGAATGTCAGTTTGATATTTATTTTTTTTAACAAATCTAATATCAAAGCTTTTCATCAGCCTTTCTTGGATATACTATTCTTTCACAATCAGGAAAATGTAAAATTTGTTATAGAAAACTTTCTACATGTGTAAAAGTGGCAAACGTTCACTTCACCCAGATAAGTTATTGCATAAATTCAAAGTATTTATCGCAAAGAAAACTGTAGTATTCGACTTATTATCTTATTCAATAATTTTGCTTATCAAAAAAGAACTGGAATATTGTGCAGTCTTGTTCGTTTTTATGAGTCTAATTCAAACTGTAATATCTTAGCGAATATTCATTCAATTCGATAAGATTGAGCACCATTGGAATCAGTGCACTTTTGCCAACGTAACACAAGTCGAATAATTTCGTCAACATAGAATTTGTGTGCTCAAGATTCGATGAAGTCAACAAAGGCCATTTTTGTCTAGTCTTGATAGGCGAATGTTCTACCGGTGATGAAATTGTCGAAGTGCTAGAAAAGATAATAGTCGGTTAGTGCGAGATCTGGGGAGTATGGTGGGTGAGCATTGTCGTGGAGCAGAATCGGACCTTTTCTATTATGTTAGGTTAGGCTGCAGCCGGCTTATGCTGACTCAATTTTCGATACATTTCGTTGATATATTCATAGTGGGACTCTGCTGTGATGGTTTATGGGATGATTTGGCCCGGTTGCAAAAGTTATAGTAATCACACTAGCTACTGACCACCATACAATAATAAAAACATATATTACGAGTGTTTTTCATCGGTATTATTGAATTCATTGAGAATTTTAGTTTCATTTACTCTAGAATGATTGTATACAGTGAGGACGTAAAAAGTCCTCCCCCCCTTAGCTTTTGAACGGAATAAACTATAGAGGTCGGTTTAAATTCAGGTAAAAAGGTATTACTTTTTCTACGTTTTGGCATAAAAATGGTTGTGATCACGCGGCCTAGTGCCAAGAGGGCACCACCAACTTTTTTTCACGTAAAGGGGGGTCACGTGGCTCCTGGATTTGAAGGCCTTTCGATTCTCTATCCAACACTGCTGTGTTTGTGGAAATCGGCCAAGCCGTTTCAAACTGACAAGCTTTTGAAATATGCTCCAAATATTCAACGAATAAATTATTTTAACTATTAATTGCAGTAGAATTTTATAGTCTATCCATTTCCAATTGGAACGGCAATAAAAATAAGAGCATTACGAGGGGTGTTCATAATCACTGCCCGGCAAATGGGAAATGTATTTACTACAAGTGCTTTTATGTTCAAAGCGTCCCTGGTACAGTCATAAACATTTCTGGCCTGTGGCCCCTAGTCGCCCAGATAGTTAATAAACGTGCTATCAAATGTAGTTGAGGAATAAAGGCTCAGTTAGCTGGACTGGCTGAATACTAACTATTTGGCCGTTTCACAATATTTCTTTATCAGTGCCGTGTTTTCGTGGGGTTAGGTGAGGTAGTGAGTGGTTTTGCAAAACAATTTTTGAGAACTTTTTTTAGAGATCAATTACCCTAACACCAAACTGATATTTTTGCACTCGACGCTCGTTTCGCTAACAAGGTTAGCATCTTCAGGAGAAGCAAATTGATACTGA